TGGTACTTCTTGAGAAATAGCGAAAACAAACTTTCACTATCAAAATCCAAGATGGCTGCCTGTCGGCCATGTTGTTTATCCGATCAGTCTCAAAAGTTGCACTGCACAGCTAAGGACCAAGGGGAACCTGCATATAAAATTTGAGAAAGACCCTTATGGTACTTCTTGAGAAATAGCGATAACAAACTTTCACTATCAAAATCCAAGATGGCTGCCTGTCGGCCATGTTGTTTATCCGATCAGTCTTAAAAGTTGCCCTGCACAGCTAAGGACCAAGGGGAACCTTATAAAATTTGAGAAAGATCCCTGTGGTACTTCTTGAGAAATAGCGATAACAAGAATTGTTTACGGACGGACGACGGACGACGGACGACGGACAACGGACGGACCACGGACCACGGACGCAGGGTGATTTGAATAGCCCACCATCAGATGATGGTGGGCTCAAAATATACCATAAGTCTTTCATAAGGCTAACATGCAGTATATTGTAAATGTTATCTCTGACCTACCTTGTGAAGCGATGTATTCCTTTTCTTGACTGTAACCCTGTAACATACAAACCAAATAATATTTGGATAACTATAGGAATTATCATTAACCTCTTCACTCCCCTTTATAAAGCCCACAAGACTATTATATGCTCACTTCTTTATACTGCGGACTTTTGCCAAGCAACATTTTGGCATTATAATAGGGTTTGGCTATATCTCAAGGGACACATATATATAAAAAACAAGAGGCCCATGGGCCTTAACGGTCACCTGAGTCTATAGTATTTATTTGTGTTGTTGAAATATGTACCAATTTGAGTAAAAAATAGTATAATGTTAACTTAACTTCGTCAGGACCATGAGCTGATCATTCCTAGACCAATTTTAAGTGAGATCTGCCTATTAGAACTTAGTAGCAAAATAGCAGCCATGGCAGCCAAATTGTATTTCTGATTGACCCGAAAAATAACAACACTTTGTCAGGACCATGAGTCAATCATTCCTACGAAGTTTCAGTTCACTCGGCCTAGCAGAACTTGACTTTAAGTTTGAAATAGATTTTCAAAATGGCGGCCGTGGTGGCCATATTGGATTTCTGAACGACCCGGAAAATAACAACACTTTGTCAGGACCATGAGCTGATCATTCCTACCAACTTTCAGTTCAATCGGTCCAGCAGAACTTGACTTTAAGTTTGAAATAGGTTTTCAAAATGGCGGCCGTGGTGGCCATATTGGGTTTCTAATCGACCCGAAAAATAACAACACTTTGTCACGACCATGAGGCGATCATTCCTACCAACTTTCAGTTCAATCGGTCCAGCAGAACTTGACTTTAAGTTTGAAATAGGTTTTCAAAATGGCGGCCGTGGTGGCCATATTGGGTTTCTAATCGACCCGAAAAATAACAACACTTTGTCACGACCATGAGGCGATCATTCCTACGAACTTTCAGTTCAATCGGCCCAGCAGAACTTGACTTTAAGTTTGAAATAGGTTTTCAATAGGGCGACCGTGGTGTCCATATTGGATTTCTAATCGACCCGAAAAATAACAACACTTTGTCACGACCATGAGGCGATCATTCCTACCAACTTTCAGTTCAATCGGCCCAGCAGAACTTGACTTTAAGTTTGAAATGTAAAATGTTAACGGACGACGGACGACGACGGACGAAAACGGATAGCAATAGGTCACTTGAGCTAAAGCTCAGGTGACCTAAAAAACTGTTAAAAAACCCCAGGAAAAGTTGAAACTTTTCAGCAGTAAGCGAGGTTTTATATAAATAAGTGGCAATATAAAGAGGTTTCCCTGTAGTTGTACAGCTGTTATATAGTTTAATTGAAAGCTGAAATCTTTAATTACTAGCCTACAGTTATAGTCTGTACAGGTCTGTGTCTTCTTGAGAAATTCCACCAAATACTTTTCCTGAAGGCAAAACTCATCCAAGATTCATTCTAGTAGTATATTTATTCTGCTTTGACACCAAACCGTACAAAATGTACAGCCATGACATCATAACTGCATTAGTTCCACTGGAAGTGTCACGGTAACCTTCAATGATTTACAGGGCTTAATTTTCAAATTTCTATTGACACAAATCTTATATACATGCATTCAAATTGCATTATGTGTGTTTTTTCTTCACTGGTTACATTCACGCATTTTGAAAATATTGACAACTTGATGAAACAGGGTCCTGGAGAACAGGTGTGGACATTTCACACGCCATATATCTGTTTATCTCATTGTTTCTTCATAGGCCATCAGTGCCTTACAGTAGCAGCGGTACAGCAAGACACTCAACTTGTTTACTGAACAATAGGTAAGTGTGTCTATTGATATCTGTCCTTTCATGGCAGTGGTGGAAAATGTTCTATTACCAAACAATGCTTGTAACATATATTCAGTGTTCTTATAACTCTGACAGAAATTTCCTGTCACAAATCAATCCACTGTCACTAATTATCAAATTTAAAACAAATTTATTTCCCATTTCTGACAAGATCTATGGAAGTGCCGTGCAGTGCTGTCAACCGATCGGCAGAAACAACAAAAAACTTCAATGCTCATCCATTATAACGGGATGCACGTATGGTTGATTGTCGATCAGGGAAACAATACATCGTTTTTCTGAAAGGAATTGTCCCAGTAGAGAATTAAAGCGAAAACAGGCTAATAGATTTATATCTATCATATGTTATATGATTCACAATTCTTAACTTTATTTTTACGATTTAGCATTTCTCTAAGTATTGCAGTATTAAATACGATGACTTTGCATTAAATGTTTTTCATAATCAATTATGTGTAAATTACTCAAATATTTTCTTTAATGGTAGGTTGACTAATTGTTTCCAGAAGTGATTTAAATGATATTATACCTTATCTGTATAACAGCATGTCTGTTCAATCCCCTTATTTGCAGCCTCTATAGAAAACTAAGCAAGAGGCACCATGCACACCAAAGATGAGTGACTGAAGTAGATGACAGCATTGGCACGAAAGCCAGGTCACTGGTGTGATAATGTTCTTTTTTCATCATATGATATATGTATTGCCCCTGCAGTAGGGAAACATGTGTCTTTGTTTCCCCTTGATTAATCATGTTTTACTCAGGCCTCACTCTTGTGAAATATAATTCATTATTAATTTTAAAAATTAGTGTTCCCTACCACAATGGCTTACAAATTATAAAGTTCTCTAGTGTAACATTGTGCAGTGGGAAATTTGCTGGTAACATTGTGTAATAGAGGTTTGCCTGGAATTTTCAATACTGTATAATACCTCAAATGGACTTCTTCATAACTACCCCTCCAGGTGGGATAGAGGATTCTGAAACGAAATATTTGGAAGAGAAGAGGCAGAATGCAATTCATGTATATATCACCTTAGTAGTGAATTTCCCACTTGGCCAATTAAAGACTAAACATCTCTATTGCACAATTAAATGCCACTTCTAAACAAAACCTAATCCATCAGGAAGGCATACAACATTACGGAGGAAAACAGCTACTTCTAATACTTTGATGTCTGTAGTGAGCATCAAATTCCATTTGTTATTATTAATTAGGAAGACAGGAGAATGTTTAAAACCGTAAATATGCAAACCTAAGATCGAAGCTCATTCTAAGTGGTATACACAGAACCTGAGATCTATGGGCTCATTATCAGTCATATATGATAGAGAGTCTATGATATGGGCTATGGGCTCACTATCAGTCATATATGATAGAGATCCTATGATATGGGCCATATATGGGCTCACTATCAGTATGATATGGGCTATGGGCTCACTATCAGTCGTATATGATATAGGGCCTATGACATGGGCTATATATGGGCTCACTATCATTATGATATGGGCTATGGGCTCACTATCAGTTATATATGATAGAGTACCTATGATATGGGCTCACTATCAGTCATATATGATATAGAGCCTATGATATGGGCTCACTATCAGTATATGGGTTATGGGCTCACTATCAGTGATATATGATATAGAGCCTATGATATGGGATATGGGCTCACTATCAGTCATATATGATATAGAGCCTATGATATGGGCTGTATGTGGGCTCACTATCAGTATGATATGGTTTATGGGCTCACCATCAGTGATATATGATAGAGTACCTATGATATGGGCTCACTATCAGTTATATATGATATAGGGCCTATGATATGTCCTATATGTGGGCTCACTATCAGTATGATATGGGCTATGGGCTCACTATCATTTATATATGATATAGAGCCTTTGATATGGGCTATGGGCTCACTATCATTTAATTATGATAGAGAGCCTATGATATTGGCTCACTATCAGTTATATATGATATAGAACCTAATATATGTGCTATATATGGGCTCACTATCAGTATGATATGAGTTATGGACTCACTATCAGTAATATATGATATAGAGCCTAAGATATGGTCTATATATGGGCTCACCATCAGTATTATATGGGTTATGGACTCACTATCAGTGATATATGATATAGAGCCTATGATATGGGCTATATGTGGGCTCACTATCAGTATGATATGGGTTATGGGCTCACTATCAGTGATATATGATAGAGTACCTATGATATGGGCTCACTATCAGTTATATATGATATAGGGCCTATGATATGGGCTATATGTGGGCTCACTATCAGTATGATATGGGCTATGGGCTCACTATCATTTATATATGATATAGAGCCTTTGATATGGGCTATGGGCTCACTATCATTTAATTATGATAGAGAGCCTATGATATTGGCTCACTATCAGTTATATATGATATAGAACCTAATATATGTGCTATATATGGGCTCACTATCAGTATGATATGAGTTATGGACTCACTATCAGTAATATATGATATAGAGCCTAAGATATGGTCTATATATGGGCTCACCATCAGTATTATATGGGTTATGGACTCACTATCAGTGATATATGATATAGAGCCTATGATATGGGCTCACTTTCAGTCATATATGATATAGGGCCTATGCTATGAGCTATATGTGGGCTCACTATCAGTATGATATGGGCTATGGGCTCACTATCAGTTATATATGATATAGAGCCTAAGATATGTGCTATATATGGGCTCACTATGAGTATGATATGGGATATGGGCTCACTATCAGGCATATATGATATAGAGCCTAAGATATATGCTATATATGGGCTCACTATCAGTCATATATGATATAGAGCATATGATATGGGCTATATGTGGGCTCACTATCAGTATGATATGAGTTATGGACTCACTATCAGTAATATATGATATAGAGCCTATGATATGGGCTATATGTGGGCTCACTATCAGTATGATATGGACTATGGACTCACTATCAGTGATATATAATATAGAGCCTAAGATATGGGCTCACTTTCAGTCATATATGATAGAGCCTATGATATGAGCTATGGGCTCACTATCATTTATATATGATAGAGAGCCTATGATATGGGCTATGGGCTCACTATCATTTAATTATGATAGAGAGCCTATGATATGGGCTATATGTGGGCTCACTATCAGTATG